AATATTATATTTTGGAACTTAGGTACTTTATTTACTTTATGACGACATCCGTGTCCGAGTGGTTTGTACGCCGGGTTTCATAGTGTCGCCGACTCGAGAGGTCCCGGGTTCAAATCCCGGTGGGGGCAGATATTTGTGTGATGAATACGAGCATTTGTACTCCAGTCATGGATGTTCAATATGTATTTCTATAAAAATATACTTAGGTATATATGTACAGTTTATGTATTCTATCCGTTACCCTAGTATCCCATAACACAAGCCTTACCAACTTACTTACTTGTCGCTTTAGCGACCAACTTCATGCGTTACTTTTGTGTTTACCGCACATTAAGAAAATCTACCAACAAAATAGAAATAGAATCTCTATTTAGTGGGTGCTAACGACTGCATTGTGAAGGCCTATCAAAAGTATTTATTAATCTGGAACAACGGAACCAAAGCGCGATTCAGGAGACTACAGCGCCATCTCTTGACCATTGGTGTAGTGGAACCAAAAACCACAGCTTTATGTTTTGTAATAAAGTAACAGTTATAGGTATTCATATTTATAATATTTCTCCACATGTTTCTAGTTTGTATATTCGGAATACGTGTTTGAGTTTCATACAAGTGCAAAACACATATGTTCTAATAAATTATATTCAGTAGCGATTTTAATTGAATATTTTGATTATTTATTTATTTTTTCAAATTAAAACTGAACTTTATTGACTGTGTCCTTTTCCAGACTTTTTATTAATTTATTGTAATTAATTATTTGCATGCAATTAAAAACTAATTTTAAACGATGATAAAGAAGGATAACTTCTCACGCGCCTACATAAGTACACGCACCCATTTTTTTTTTATTATATAGGCAACGTCGGCCCTTTGCTTGGCTATTCGTGTTTGCTATTTGGAAACTTCGCATCAGTCTGCCCTTTTCATTCCTTATAGAGCATGATAAGGACAGACTATTAAACTTGACGTTTACGAATAGCATATACGAATAACCAACTAAGTAATGTTGAAAGTCTGTATATGGGTTAAGTTTTATTAATTTAGAGGCACAAACAGGGAATCCTAGAAACTAAATTAAATACGTACTTATTTATATAATAATGTGCGTTGCTCTAGTATAAATATCTTATGATAACGAAGAAATTTTAAACGAAGACTATTTGCTGTGATGTTCCAAGAATCGGCATACGACACTGGGGGACTATTCTAGAACACAACTCAGTTTTTTCCAAGCATCATGATGTGAAAAAATTAATCAACTTTTGCTTGTATTTTAAAAGATAGAACCTATTTTTTTACAAGTACATATTACAAAAATAATACACAAAAATTCATTACTTATTTATTCATTAAAGCTCTTCCTTTAATAAAATATGTATTCCTTAACTTACACAATCTTCAACTTATATGCAATAATTCTCAGCTTAGTGCAAAGAAAATTACTAGAAAATTATATAAAACATACATATATATAAAAAATATTACACTGGCACTATAACTTAAGATTACTTTAATAGTTGCTATAACTAAATTTACAACACATTTGCAAAATAATGCATTTATGTATAAAAGACAACTGTAACATTTTGACTTAGCGTACACCCTGACCTTAGAGTTGCCGCCATTTATTTACACTAAGCACAAAAAATGTTTCTCCCCACTCAATGTTACTTTCACTTAGAAAAGAAGAGTCCAAACACGAAGAAAACGACAGAAATTGTGCCGTACCCAATCTTCTAAACCGACATCTAGAACCTTCCCAATAGAAACACAATGCTACCAGAATATTGTTGCGATGTTTTTACCACTGCAGATTATAATTCTGAGATGAGATCATGTCACAAAGTCCACATATTTACAGGAAAATGTGTCGGATAAGGAAATTATTAGCCATGACCTTGAGTGACAATGTAGGTGCTATGTGTGATAGCTGTAAGTACCATTTTATTTTGAACTTGTTGGTGGACTGAAATTCAATGATTTCATCATCAGCCGAAGCAAATTTTAACAATGACGTGTTTTGATATCTAATTTATTACTTTTATTAGGTATGTCTATTATTTAATAAAACGATTTTTAATGAGTCCTAGTAATGGAGGATTTATATTTATAGAGTCACTTTGTTGTCCGACTGCCTGTCAAATTCTTTATCTCGTAAACGCGTGGAGGTATCGAAGTGACAATATCATTTAAAAATCATACTCAGGTCTTCGGTTCCTTGGAGCTGTGAAAAAAAACTAGGTTAATTTAAAAAAAGATACGACCGTATCTGTCTGTCTGTCAAGATATTTTATCCCAGGAACGCGTGGAGGTATTGAGCTGGAATTTAAACTATATACTTAGTCGCACTCTACGATCCCTTGAAGCTGTGAAAAATGAAACTTTAAAGTTAATATAAAAAAGATAGAAACGGCTGTTTGTTACTTGTCCATGTTTTTTTCATAATAACAATATGAGGAGCTGGCGAACAAAACGGTATAATTACGCATCTGGTCAAACTACTGTTTTTACAGTCTGGGGGTTTCAGGCCCGTTGTATTCGGATCTCAAATATTAATCAAGCAAAACCACCTTAAACAGTGTTAAAATTACTAAATTTATAAATTAAAAACCATTCCTCAAAACCTCACTGTAGGTATGTCATTCAGTTTTATACAGCTCCTGTAAATTTTAATTTTATGTAATTATACCATTTTGTTTGCCAGCTCCTCATATGTATTATGTTTTAGAAGTTTCACGTATAAAAGAGTTTTATTATAATTTATACGGTGTGCGCGAATTTTATGAAATGAGTAGGTCATTTGAACTCGCTTGTAGAATAGACCCCTACTCAAATTGCAGCGTCAAATAGAGAGACGCATGTTGATACGGTCTTTAAGAACTTTAGATTAAAATATTGTTTTAACAATGCCCAACCTTAATCATAAGAATTAAAAAGTCGAACGATTTTTTTATACGACGCGCAGCATATTACCCACACCACCTGATTTTAAGAGCCCTTTCATATTTTTTGCAAAAAATCGTAATTTTTGAGCGCCTCGTTTACCCCCTTAGAAAAGACTATATCCAATAGTAGTAAACAGTAGACTTCTTCTTATTGTAAGTTAATGTAGAATATTTGCAAATACTATTTTCCTTTTTTTGTACTGATCGTTCTACTGCAGCTAGTTTACGCAAAAAATGATAATATGCACAATTTCAAACGCCTAAATCTCTAAATAATGTTCAATAAATTAGATCAAATTAATTACTACGACATCGGAAATATGTTTTTGTTGTAACATAATGTATTAGTATTTTAAATTTTAAAAACATATAAATAATTTTCCCAAAAAATAATGCAGGTTTACCTCGTATTTTGATATTGAATTAAACAGAATTACCATCAAAAACTTTCATAAAACTAATCTACCATCATTGAACTACTGAAATATATATATATTTACAATTAGTTCATTAATAATTATTTTATAAGATTCGAAACATCACCCGTAACAAATCTACCTACGCGTCGATCGGCAGCGGCGCAATTTTGTAAAAGGGCTCATGAAGTCTAGTCGCGAAGATAGGCGATGCGGCAGAAAGTGTGCCGCCCCAGCCATCCGCACCTTGACGGCCTGAACCCAATCTATATGAGTAAGGTTCCAGGATTCCAGGACTCCGCGGAGTAGAACCCCCTCAGGTTCGAGTGGTCTAGAGGCTCCAGACGGAGAGGAAACTCCCCCCCCCCCCCCCCGTGAGAAGATGCCATCCGTCTGGAATACCTATAGAGGCACTCGCCAATTCCCGGCTTGAGGTCCCATTAGGATCTCGCCGTCCCCAAACCCGGTGACGCAGTAAAGGTCATCTGTTACCAACAGCATATACATTCAAAAAAAACGACGGGTTGCATCCCGGGAGTGCCGGCAGACGGCAGAAGTGAAAACTTGAATATTAACGTTGTGCATTTTTGATATTTTGGAATGGTTAGGGAATAATTTTGCACATTGCTTTAATTATCAGTATAAAAGTACTATCATTTATGTGGTAGAATACAATATTTATTTAATGCGTTATCGTACACAAACATGACATTATATAAAATTAAAAAGTTTATCTCTCAGAAAAATCAACGTACATGAATCACATTTAAGCGCGCCTACCGACACCTATTGTAAAAAAATGCATTTTCTTCGCAATGAAGCTGCCACCTGGACGTCTTAGTTAGAGACGTATAATACAATAAAATAAAATATATCAATTTTTAAATCAGTAGTTCTGCATAGGTAGGTACTACTTAGTTTTAATTTTCACGCATTATTTGAGAAAATTACTAATACAAGCCTTAGTCACAACTAGGCATTGATGGACTTACGTATGTGTTTACACCGTGGAGGTTAGAGAGATGGAGAACGATCGCTGTAGAAAATAGTGTCCCAGTAATATGGACAAAATAAGTGAAGCGCTGCGATCGCTAAGTTGTCTCAATAAAATTGACGACCTCCGTGGCCGAGTGGTTTGTACGCCGGGTTTCATGGTGTCGCCGACTCGAGAGGTCCTGGGTTCGAATCCCGGTGGGGGCAGATGTTTGTGTGATGAATACGAGCATTTGTACTCCAGTCATGGATGTTTAATATGTATTTCTATATAAATATACTTATATATGTACAATATATGTATTCTATCCGTTACCCTAGCATCCCATAACACAAGCCTTATAGTGCTTACTTTGGGGCTAGGCTAATTGGTGTGAGTGTTAAAAAAAAAAAAGCGGCCTGTTTTGTGCTAATTTGAGTACATTATTCAACTAACTTCATCTACTTGTACTCATAAATAGCTAACTTCACAGATACTACTTACAGTACATAAACTATAAATTATACAAATTTTCAGGGACAGGCGGGCTAATGCTTTAGCACGTAGCGATCGTTCTCCTTCTCTCAAACCTCTATGGTTTACACGTTCGTCCTGCAGTAAGTCGGTCACTATTCTAACCTTCTTTAATTTCTCTCTTTGCAGATTGAAAATGGAACTCAAATCACCAAAGGCGAAAAAAAAGTCCAGTTTCGCGAAATTAGTGTCGTGGGGTAAAATGTGCCGTACTCCCATACTAATTCTGTTCCTATTGGGCAGCACTAGCTGTGATGACAGCGAAACAAGTGACGACGTGACCTTTTACGCGCCAAAAAACATTACAGTTTTAAAAAACAAAGAACACTCCGCGAATGTTCCGCATTTAAGACATAGACACACGAGTGTCATACAGCCAAACTTTAACGTTAGTGAGAAAGAAGTTTTGAATGACATTAAATATTTAAGGCGACACTTGAATAAGGAAATAGTAAATTTTGTGATGACTGACTTCTTGGTGGATGGTGAAGTTGAGAACCGTATACATTTCAACGGTATAACAGCGAAGGAGACCTTTGTCGGAGGCGACGGGTAAGTTCATAATTTTTTCATTCTTTAGGTCGTATTAGTATCGCATAATGGCTTACCGAAACTCCTTTACGCGTGGTTTAATTTCTTAAACAACGGCCATACAGTGCGACCAGTATCTTTATGAATGTGAGTGACAGTTCAGGGAGGGCGTCACTGTCTACGTAAATGACCGTAAATGACGTACAAAATATGACGTTTACAAAGACGGCGGCATTATTTTCAACTTTTGCCACATTAATAAAGATCTTGGTAGCACTTTAGTACATTTTTTTGTATAATTTGTCCAGTTGTATGAAGCTGGAGAGAACCAGGAGAAAAGGTCCGCGGCAGCATATCATCTTTTAAGTTTGACTCACTATAACCTTTACCTCAAATTAACGACATAACTATAATAATTAGACATATATGATATTGCGAACTTTTTTGTAGATATGTATGTCTTCTGTAAAACTATGGTAAATCACTTTGCTCTATTGTCAATGACTTCCGCAGCGTAAGCGATATAAGGTTATTTTTAGGATTTTTTTCACAGCCTGGGTGTTTTTCGATTCGATAATGTACGAATTTTTCATACGAAAACCTAACTTTTTTGAAAATACTCTATAGCCCATGTTCATCAGGGTTACTGTAGGATTCTAAATGTGGAAGAATTTTTCAAATCGGTCGAATAGTTTGGGAGCCTATTCAATACAAAGAAACAAACAAACAATCAAATCCTTCCTCTTTATAATATTAGTATAAATAATAACTTTATGAAATGTATAATTTATTCAAAGGTAAATAAAACTAGTTTTTACGGGTTAATGCACGAAACTTTATTCAAGTTTCGTGCATTAACCCGTAAAAACTAGTTTTATTTAATGAGTGATGTGCGTGAAATCCTAACAAACAAATATGTTATTCAAAGGTTTTTTGCTTAAGTCATTACCTAATAAATTAAATTGGATATTATTAATATAGAAAATAATTATTAAAAAGGAGAGGCCTATGTCCAGCAGTGGACAAATATAGGCTGTTGATGATGAAGTATTAAAAATATTTCAAATCAAATCAAAAGTTCATAACTCTTTTGATGGGCATTTATAGAACTACATAGTTTAAAATTTGTAACTTTGATATCTGCAGGCAGTGCCGTCTTTGACCTATTGGAGGCCCTGGGCATATTAGGATAATGGGGCCCCTATGACTTCCATTTGGTGATTTAAAAGGAACTAGGGACTTTGTATTTGATCTGAGGACGACCCTATCGATCGCGGGGCCCTGGGCACTTGCCCAAAGTGCCCACTGGTAAGGACGGGTCTGTCTGCAGGCCGATTCCGTAAAATGAAATCGTACTTCTGGTTTCGGTAGTTGCCATTATATAGACATTAGTTTGATATGCATTACGCCATTGCATGGCAAAATGGCGCTATGTCTATCGAAGCAGCCAGTATTAGATATTTTACATTTATATTTTTTTGATGTGTAACATCTTTCCTCTCGCTTTCGTGCAATTCTTGGTAGTGATTACGTGAAGTGGGACGGAAGTGTGTAACAGGAAGTTTGGGAAGCGCGCGCTATTTGATTTGATTTTAGAACATAGTGTTCAAATGGCTTATTCCTTTTGTAGTAGGTTTTTATTCTTTTTTTACTAATATAAGGTGAGGTTTCAAATGTTACACATCATACGCGACTACTGTAAGACTCGCTCGTTTTTTTTTGTTTTTTTAAGCATTTAAATGCTACATTTGTCAGATATCCGAATAAGTGAGATTGCATCTTACAGACTACCTATGTTGCAAGCAATAACCAATAAATGATTAATTAATTCGAAAAGCGCTTCTGTTGGGACTTTGCTATCGAGCTTGACGGGTTTATCCATGCATTTAGTGATAACCCTGAAACTTATAATCGAAAGACCAACATTAACATTATAATAAGGCTTTTTACATTCGAGCTACATTCGGAATAATAAAGTTAAAGTGTCTGATTATATTTCAGACAAAAATGCTTGGGTTTAAACTGTTCCAAACGTTCTGAAAGGCTTTTTCTGTAATTATGATGAAGAAAAAATTATTTTGTCTTAACACCGTTACTATATAATGGTGTCGATTCTGGCGTGATTAAAACTAAATTTAACATCAGTCTCTCCTTTTCATTCCGCATAGAGAATGACAAGGACACACTGTTGTCAAATTCAAGTTTAGGTTTAGAGAATCGTGTCAGAATTGACACCAATATTTTGTAAATATTGTTACATAATTATTTAACTCTGTGAAGTTTCTCCCGCCAGTTTTTCTCCACAGCTAAAAAAATGTTTTTAACTAGTGGTAGGGGAAAAAATATGGACGATTTAAAATAGTTGTATTTTGCATCCAATTTGAATAAAGATATTTTGACTTTTGACTTTTGAAAGTAAAAGTAATAAAGTATATAGAGTCTGTGCAGAAAGAGAATGGGATTTAGATTGGAGGGCGATGTAGTGCTTTTCTACCGTATTTGTAAGGTTTTACCCCTTTTAGACATGATTAAATACAAAAACCTCAAAAAATCATAACAACAAACAAATCGGTATCAATACAAAACCTTGACGTTTTACGGATTGCTGGGTTTGATTGCCAAATAAAAATCTTAATGTTGGTTCCGTTTTTCGCCACGCCCATTCTATTTCCGCACAGACTCTACCAATGATGTTTTAGAAGTTTTGATTTTAAACTGACTTCAATAAGGAGGAGGTTTCCAATTCATTATTATATAATTGTAATTGTTGTACGCGCATATCTTCGAGGTTTGTTGGTCGATTTTGATGATATTTTTTTGTTTGAAAGAGGTTATTAGCGAAGTGGTCCCGTATTAATTTAGTAAAGATCTGATAAATCCTTAAGGAGATAAACAATGGAACTCCTCGAATACGAACAGCACCCTTAGCACGAACTAAAGGCGAATTCGTATCGTTTGCGAGTCCGAAATATCATTGTCAAATGTGTAAAGATTTTTTGTTCTCGTTACGTACTTTGTGGCGCTGCTGTTCAAGTTTCCTTCCTAAAAATCAGCACACATTTGACAATGACATTTCGTACTCGCAAACGTTATGAATTCGATAGTGGTTCGTGCTAAGGGTACTGTACACATACAGTATAATTTTTGGTTATTAAACGATATTATGAAAGAGAGACTGCAGGCCACACATCTACATCATGTTTATTTAGTCGGCTAAAGGACTGAGTATCCAAGGCCAGAATAAATAAAAAAAAATGTATATTTATTAGGTTGTTGTTGCTCTGGCTTATAAGGGGAGAAAAATACTGTTTTAAACTTTTTTTAACAAAAACAAAAGCTGACTTCATAGAAACAAAATCGCTAAACATTAAGAAATATTAATTACATTTCCTTTAGTTTGTTCTAAAGTACCTTTAAAGTCAAATTAATATTTAAAAACGGTGTCATTCATGTCTGATAGATCTGTGTTTTTATTTACTAACTAGATGTCCCAGCGAGCTTCGTACCGTCATAAAAAATAGGGGTTGGTGGTAGAAGGGTGAAAATTTTGGGATACAACCCTATTATTATTCCCTATTATATTTATTCCTGATATATGTACATTTGTACACCAACATATGTATCAAATATATACATCAAAAAACTAATCGAAATTTTCGCTCAGTTTATAATAATAAGCTCTATAGGCCTGCTACAAAATAGACTTTAGCAGCTAAAAACACTCTTATTATGTGCATTAAAATTTACAATAAATTACCAGACAAGTTCAAAGAACTATAACTTTTTAAATTAAAAAAATACTTAAGGATTGGCTTAGCCAAAAATGTTTTATAGTATCAAAGAGTATTTAGATTATAAGTAGGAATATTCAAATGGTACCTATACGTACAGTATAAATGTGTATACACCTGAAAAGGTAGGATCAAATGGCACTATACATTATCATTAAGACCTGTATTTTCATGTTACCTTGTTCCATACACAATAAAGATTTATTATTATTAAATTGTAATATTTTGTATATGTTTTGGAGTACTTCAATGACGCACAGCGTGACACGAGAATCTTATATATTAGATTGAGTTGGCATGAAAAATATTCATTGTCATATTTTGTCGATAGTATGACACCGGCTCAATAAACACATGTACATACTTACTGTGTAACAATATTCATTTTCTTTTAACCAATGGCCCATTAAGATAATCTCTATAATAGCCGTCTTCTGTTCATTCATCAGTACGCGACGCACACAATATACTCTTGTGTGACATAATTGCCTCGCAGATATAATTTTGCAATGTTTTTTTTAATTTGATTCATAATTTAATAAGTGCTGTTGATTAAACGAAGACAAAGCGCGAATATGACTCGTGTATGAAGAGTTCCAATTTATTTTAAGGGATTTAATACTAGGAGGTTGAACAAAATAATTTAATAGAAGTCACGTTTATGTCATGGCCTCCTTAAAATCAAATTAAAACCTTTTGAACCCAGTTTCGGTGATTTTTCCCATTTTTAGTTTTCTAGGGTTCCGTACCCCAATCGGAAAAAAAGGAAACCTCATAGGTTCTGTCGAATATCGAATCTACGGGACCGATCAAATTGAAAGTGTGGTAGACACCTTCATGTATGTCTGTGTGACTGATATTTGTGTCAAAAAAGAAACGATAAAATCAATGAAAGGTTTCAAACATATATTGTTTATAAATGCATTGTTTGAAAATTATCTAAGAAAATAAATTAAAATTGACCTGTCCTCATTATCTCCGAAACTATTGCGTCTAAAAATATAATGTAACTCTTTGCTTATAGATTACAGGAAACATTGAAACCTTAGTTAAAATTTAGTCATTAAAATTAAATAAATATTTAAGAGGGCTTCTATACAATAGACGTGTTTTTTTTTGCCGTTTTTGGTCGATATTATAATGAATAGAAGAATTACGTCAAGTCCTGACATCGTCGATTACACAATGCCTAAAGATGAAAGTCTTCAATCAGCGCGTCCTACCTGTGAT